CATAACATTGTTTATCACATCTATGAATTTGTTTAGTATTATACGGAATGTGGCAGTTCTCACAAAAAAGCTGCAGCAAAAGGCAGCAGTGAGGGATGTTATGACGCTGTAGTGCCCCTCGTGATATTAGGTTAAGCGTCGGACCAGCGGACACGCCTTCAAAAATGACGTCACGACCTTTGCACCCAAACTTGTATACAACAATTTTGTAGTTTTGCAGATATCGTTGTAGCTTTTGAAGTTCAGGTATTCCACACCCCTCCTCAGGGATAACAATATCAGCCTTTTCCACAAGTTGTACAGCTCTTTGTCCTTGTATTTTTCCTCGATCACGGCGGATTCTGCTATAATCTTTGTCTTTGTTCAAATGGGCCATGGCGATGACAAGGGCTCGTGGGAGACACAAATTATCGGTGTTTTTAACGGTGATAATGCCTTTCTTTTGGCGCATTCCTCATCAAAGGTATTGAAATTCTGAGCTCTACCACGACCAGCAGGCAACCTTACGGACGTAATACCCAAGCAAAAAGTCTCGGTATTCAACCCCACAGAATTTGACTGATAGATGGAAGATATCTTCTCCCATATGTCCTCAGTTGAAACGTCGGAAAACAATTTAAAAGCTATCCATCCTTGACCGCGGGTAAAGTCTTTGGAACAGAAAGTGAATCCAACTTGATCACTGGGCTGGAGATGTTCAGTTCCTTTGGCTACTATTTCCTCCAGAGCGTCTTTGATCCATCCCACAGGTTCGACGTCTTTAGGGATAGGTCGTATTTTAAATTCCACTTCTCGCCCATATAGATTAAATTTTTTAATCTTCTTAGTAGAATCCTTAACGATGAAGAATTTTTCCATTTTTTAAAAACTAAAACGTTAACTAGCGACTAAATCTGAACTGAGCACGTCTGTTCGCTGCAGATAACTGACAAGATAATTTTTTTTTTTTTTTTTGTATAACGAGGGGGGAATGCATTTACGCACCCATACCATAGCACGAGCTACGACGTGTGTGGGGGCTCCAGGGTCTTGAAGAGATCACCTAATACCCACTAACCCTAAACCTCCGCGTGGCCCGACTCATCAGCGTCTCGTAGGCCATGTGTTGTGCGTGACCTGCGGTCTGCTACAAACGTCTCCTCAGTGTTTCAGTCTCTGGAACGCCGGGTTGGTTCCCTTTACTCGCACATTCTATCGATGTCGTTAAGCGATCATCGATAGAGGGTCTGCTAGTTTCTCTTGAAACTCTGTTTTCGAAAAATCAAGAGTTTCAAGTCATCTTACCAATATGTTGTTCCTGGTCCTGGTCCTGAAGGGTCCTGGTCCTGTGGGTCCTGGTCGTGGCGGGTCCTGGTCCTGGTTGGTCCTGGTCCGGTGGGTCCTGGTCCCGGTGGTTCCTGGTCCTCTGCATCCACGCCGTGGGGTGAGGGGGGGGGAGCAGCCGCAGTTCTCCTAGTCTCCCTAGTCAAGGTTCCAGTTAGCGGGTGCCAACTGGGACCTTGGTCTGGGTACCTGGTTCTGCGGTTGCGAGGCCTCTCGTCCGGATCGTAGTCCATGAGGAATCGTAGCTGCTCGTTCGGGTGGTCCTGAGCTTTCTCGAAGGTCTTCTCTCGCTTTTTTCTCATGTACTCGTGGATGGTATCCATGCAGGTCTCTACGCAAGGTTGAGTTCCTTACGTAGGAAGGTGCATTGGTGGCGATCCGGAGTAGCTTCATCTCTAGAGCAGCAAGTCGCTTGCGGTAGCTGGGGGCAGCGTACCCCCAGACCGCGGAGGCGTAAGCGAGCTGAGGTCTGGCGATGGCCTTGATCAGCCGTAGCTTGGTCGCTAGCGGCATCTGGCTGTGTCTACCCAGTAATGGATAGAGTTGAGCCATGGCTGCTCTGGTTTTTGCGATGACAGCTTCTATGTGCGCTTTCCAGGTGAGGGACTTGTCAAAAACGATCCCCAGATATTTGACATTGTCGCTCCACTGGATATCTTCATCGAAGATGGATGCTTCGAGAGGTCTTGCAATCCTTCTTCGTTGAATGAAGATTGCCTGCGTCTTCTGGAAAGATAATTTGCGGTGATTCATAGGTATTTATAATCTCGATTTTACCCCCACCACTTTTTAACTGACCACAGTGTTTCAAGGTCACCGCTGTTATCGTTGGTCAGTATTAACTCGTTGACAGCCTGCGCTTCCTGCCCATTCACCCATGCTTAACAGCTCCGCCCGGTACTTCTTGCATATCACCGCTACGACAACACCTGCCCTGAACCTAACCTCATTTGCGACGTAGGTGATTGCCTTGTTGAATTTATTAGATACACAATATAGACTGTACTATGTTTTCAATATTGTATCAATGTTAAAAATTAACTAACATTAACTGTATGCACCACATATATGAGCAATTCCATTTTTATATGCACACTGAATATGACGTGTTGATTATTGAGATCATCCTATACGCATTGTTTCCCGCGAATTTTATACGTTTTTCCATTTAAACTGAATCCGCAGAATTGCATCTATAAATATCATTATTCATGGGCTTTTATCGATCTATATGCAGATATTTACCGCAAAACATGAAATGAGTCACATCGCTTACGCATAGACGTTATACTACACCTTACTATCGTCGGCTGTCTGAATCACTTCCGGTCGGGTGCGCCATCTAACGGGGCCCGCCAATCAACATATACCATCAACCCGTTCAAACTTCCCGCCGTCTGATCCACCAATCAGAGCACGCGGTGGATCTAGCGGTTCCCGCCAATCAACATATACCATCAACCCCGTTCAAATTTCCCGCCGTTTGATCCGCCAATCAGAGCACGCGGTGGATGTGGTGGGCGTGGCCAAAAAGTGGAAGTGGTGGGGGGCGCCCAGAGTGCACCAGTATCTACTAGCCAGATCTTTGCATATCAATTAAAATTAAGTTTGAGTCACTGTTCGTAGGCTCTAGGGTACGAACGCAGCATCGGTTTCGACCGAATTTGGCCAAAAATGCCCCTTCGACGACACATTTGGTCGTAGGCTCATGAACCCTACAGGCAAAGGTTTGGAAAAGATCTGGTCGCGTACCAAGCGGACATAAACATGGTCAGAGTATGAAAAATACTTTTTCCTCAACAATTAAAACAATTACATGGCTTCTACAATATCTGATTGTTACTTTCTACCATATTCTATCCGTAATTTCAACAAGAATATTAAGTGACTCTACTTTGTTGCATTTTGTTTTTTTTGCTAGCGCCATAGTCTAACCTTTTACATGCACAAAAATAGAGGACCCATCGGTAAATTGTCGATACGGCTGACCAAAGAACTGAGGAGATTATAAGTAACTATTCTAAATTAAGTATATTTCGGTGTTTACCCTGTATCCCCTACCATTTATAATATATTATTTTGATTTTTTAATTGTATAATTTTAAAAATATCTGCATTTAATAGTACATATGTTTTATTATCAACTTTGTAGATTAATGTATGGTCTTATCGTGAAACTGCTTTTGCAGTAACTATTATTTCCGTTATAACGGTGGGAAGCAAATATGTGTTTTCATATCCCAACGAATGTCAAAGGAAACAGTATTATCGGATACCAGCGCTGATAGATGTTATGCCTTTTCAGTATGTGTTTTTTTCTGTAGCCTTCGGTTGTCTCTGGTGCTGTTTCGAAGTTCTATGAGGTTATCGTGCTTCTCAATTTTTTCGGTGCTCATAAAAAATAGTATAGCTATTATCGAAAATATAGTTTTTTATTTCTACTTTTCGTAATATCCATTTACGTAGTGATACGAAGTTCTACATGGTTATCATGCTTCTCAATTTTCGTGCCCGTGCAGTACAGTGTTGGTACCCGTGCAGTGCAGTGCCCAACACGTAAGATAGTAAAATGATTATTATTGTAAAAATAGGAATTCAAAACTCTATTTTATTAGTAATAATCGATTACTTTTACGTAGTTTCCTCTCTACACTGCTTATGAATCTGCTGTATTTTTTATTTTCCAAGATATGTTTTTTTGTGATTATACAAAGTTCCACATGGTTACACTGCTTCTCAATTTTTTTGGTGTATATTACTGCAGGCGTTTAATAATAACAATGCATACTTTTAAATATTTTTATATGGAGTAAAAAGGCTGAACAATTTCGGGTGCAAAAATATTTTTCAATTAGGCGGGAAATAAAAAACAAAAAATCATTTGCATACATTTTATTTTACATGTTTATTAAAAAATATTTACATACATTAATAAATCAATACTTTATTTTCTTAAATCAAATGGTACAGAGGTATGATCTTCATAGAATTTCCTTTTCATTGAAGTTATCTTGTATACCTTAGGAAACTCGACTGTTACTACTGCATGCTCTCTTGTACGTCGTAGCTGTCGAGAAAGTACAGAAACAGGATCAGATTTCTTCAGCACCATGTCTTTTATTTTCTCAAAATTGACTACTTGGGATGCCTTGTAGTTGAGTGATATGCCTTTTACTTTACATACGATCTGTTCCTCTCCAGACAAAGTAGTATATTTGTAGGCGTAGTTCTTAGGTCCTCCAGAAACAAACTCTGATATGAAACCCCCATTGAGCTCATCGGTCATATCACCTATGAAGTCGCCTGTAGATATGTCGTCTAATCCCTTACGAGAGATATAAATACATGAATCTGTATCTACGTAAACTGCCCTTTCTTCCACTTTCTCCAAGAATGAATATAATTTTAGTCTAGCTAGGGCCGTGACATATGAAGCCAATACAACGTTAACCGTTGAAGAAACGTCATAGGCCTCTTCTCTAAATTCCCAAGTTATGAGAAGGGTTCTTCGTTTACCGGGAGAACTGTATTTACATGAATAGAAGGATTAGTCAGCATATCAAAGAATTCACCACAGTCTCTGACTATTGAGGTTTTGTTTTGGTTTTCTTTTTGAGCAAATTTACCCCAAAAGGAATTCAGCATAAGTTTAGCTAACGATCTCAAACAGGGGTTCTCTATAATTTTGAAAATTCCAGCTTTATGTCTTCTCTATCCAAAAATGCATCAATATAACGGTTTTTTTCTTCATCCGTTAAGCAATGTTTGGGCCATCCTGAAGCTTGTTGTTTTATTTGTAGAAACTTGTTCATCATTCCGCTAAATAACCCCTCTTGGTCTTTACTGAGCTGAATTGTATCGTATTCCCATATTTCGTAAGTCTCTATAATCTGGTAACCTTTTTCAATAGCTTTGAGCGCCTCTTCTATCACCCAAGTTCCTTTTAGGCTTCTTTCTTGAATAGAATGCTGACACTCTTCTCGAACGAAATCTTCACCACATTTTTGACAGTTAACAAACATCAATTTGTTGTTCATTTTGACGGTAAACGGGGTGATATAAGTTCTGGTTCGGTAGAATCTGGCATTTAATAAGTCCTGACATCTGCGACAGAGAGGCTGTAACACATTCTTCACCTACGTAAATTTTTTTTGGATGACCCACCGGAAATTTTCCATATTTACAGATGAAGGGGTACAGGGAACATATATCGACATATTTTATGCATTCATTTGTTTTGATCTTGTAGTATTCAACGATATTTTCTGTACGTCCCCCGTAGAGAGCGTCTCTGGGGTTAATCGGTAAATTGATTATCAATGGATGTGCTTCTGTGAAGGCTCTAATTTCATCGTTTAGCATTCCTCGAAATTGACATTCCCATATCTCAATTACTTCTAGTCCAAGGCTTCGGAGTCTCTCTACTTTGCTAACTGATTGTTCGTATCGACTTTCCAATGTATTCAACGGATCATTATGCAGAGGATTGCTTCTGTTGTATTTGAAACATCGAGGGCAACCGTGAAAATAGCATCCTTGGAATTCAAACACTTGATTTGTGTCGCTACAAAAAACCGTCTACTTTATGTCCCTTAACAATGGTTTCTATACCCTTAGCGGCGTGTTGAATTTTGATTCCTCTTTGATGTTCCTCCCACAACAGCCATTGGATGGCAATTTTTGACTGATTTTCACGCCATCTATAGCCCCCTTTTGGAATTACCCCGATCGTCTCAGGTTTTAAAAAATTGCGTCTAAAGACTTTGTTACAGCATGATGCAATAGTGGTGCTTTCCTGGAAGGGATCGACTGTGGTTTCGGTTTTCATCAGGTCTCGAAATTTGAGACACGCCTGTGTCAATATTTCCACATCGGAGATACAGTATTCAACGATTCTTTCTGAAAATCAAAAACGTATCCCTCCGCTTGTCTTTCGCCATGCCATTTTAATAATTTTTCCCGAGCGTCTTCCTTAAATGGTCGGGATCGTAGAAGTCGAGCGCTGGAATTGGCCCTACATAATTCTGATGAGCCAAAGTGTTGAATAAATGTGGAAAGTATCCTTTCTTTAGCTCTTTCAAATCAAACGCCTTGGGTAGAGCAGTTAGAGGCATAGGAAAATAATTGAGAGAATCCAGAAATTTTACATTTCCTACCTCCATCAATATTAATTTTGTTCCTCTCATAATTACATTCGGGTACAGACTAGTCTTCTCTAAAATGTAACGAAGTAGAAACTGATGATCAAATCCTCCACCATTATGCGCCAGTACAATGACTTTCTTGAATTTTTACGAAGTGTCAGAATATGATGCATAAATGGAGAAATGACGTCTTGACATCGAAGAATCTGTAATCGAAGGCCACATTTCTTGCATATAGGATTATCGGTACATGATTCACAACATTGTTTGAATACACATAGATTTGGCTCATGCAGTAAAGATCCATTGGGTAATTCCTTCTCCTGACGGGTTTCCAAATCGTAAAATATTAATAAGACATCATTTGATTTAGGAATACTTCTGTCAGGCTGTATATAGCACATATGTTCAATTGGTTGATTTTTATAACATGTTTTACAAGTATATATCCGCAGATGTGATCATTACCGTTGTGAACTTTAAAACAGTCTACACATCTTTTAATTTTAGAACAGACCGATGGTAAATGAGCGTTAAAACATTCTTGTCCATAAAAGCTTCTATTACATTCTTTGCATTTGATGTGCTTCGTTTTCAGGCAGGCCGGAGATCTTTTACAAGCATAACATTGTTTATCACATCTATGAATTTGTTTAGTATTATACGGAATGTGGCAGTTCTCACAAAAAAAACTGCAGCAAAAGGCAGCAGTGAGGGATGTTATGACGCTGTAGTGCCCCTCGTGATATATTAGGTTAAGCGTCGGACCAGCGGACACGCCTTCAAAATGACGTCACGACCTTTGCACCCAAACTTGTATACAACAATTTTGTAGGTTTGCAGATATCGTTGTAGCTTTTGAAGTTCAGGTATTCCACACCCCTCCTCAGGGATAACAATATCAGCCTTTTCCACAAGTTGTACAGCTCTTTGTCCTTGTATTTTCCTCGATCACGGCGGATTCTGCTATAATCTTTGTCTTTGTTCAAATGGGCCATGGCGATGACAAGGGCTCGTGGGAGACACAAATTATCGGTGTTTTTAACGGTGATAATGCCTTTTCTTTTGGCGCATTCCTCATCAAAGGTATTGAAATTCTGAGCTCTACCACGACCAGCAGGCAACCTTACGGACGTAATACCCAAGCAAAAAGTCTCGGTATTCAACCCCACAGAATTTGACTGATAGATGGAAGATATCTTCTCCCATATGTCCTCAGTTGAAACGTCGGAAAACAATTTAAAAGCTATCCATCCTTGACCGCGGGTAAAGTCTTTGGAACAGAAAGTGAATCCAACTTGATCACTGGGCTGGAGATGTTCAGTTCCTTTGGCTACTATTTCCTCCAGAGCGTCTTTGATCCATCCCACAGGTTCGACGTCTTTAGGGATAGGTCGTATTTTAAATTCCACTTCTCGCCCATATAGATTAAATTTTTAATCTTCTTAGTAGAATCCTTAACGATGAAGAATTTTTCCATTTTTTAAAAACTAAAACGTTAACTAGCGAATAAATCTGAACTGAGCACGTCTGTTCGCTGCAGATAACTGACAAGATAATTTTTTTTTTTTTTTTTTTTTTTTTTTTTTTTTTTTATAACGAGGGGGGAATGCATTTACGCGCACCATACCATAGCACGAGCTACGACGTGTGTGGGGCTCCAGGGTCTTGAGAGATCACCTAATACCCACTAAACCCTAAACCTCCGCGTGGCCCGACTCATCAGCGTCTCGGTAGGCCATGTGTTGTGCGTGACCTGCGGTCTGCTACAACGTCTCCTCATGTGTTTCAGTCTCTGGGAACGCCGGGTTGGTTCCCTTTACCTCGCACATTCTATCGATGTCGTTAAGCGATCATCGATAGAGGGTCTGCTAGTTTCTCTTGAAACTCTTGTTTTCGAAAATCAAGAGTTTCAAGTCATCTTACCAATATGTTGTTCCTGGTCCTGGTCCTGAAGGGTCCTGGTCCTGGTGGGTCCTGGTCGTGGCGGGTCCTGGTCCTGGTTGGTCCTGGTCCGTGGGTCCTGGTCCCGGTGGTTCCTGGTCCTCTGCATCCACGCCGTGGGGTGAGGGGGGGGGAGCAGCCGCAGTTCTCCTAGTCTCCTATCAAGGTTCCAGTTAGCGGGTGCCAACTGGGACCTTGGTCTGGGTACCTGGTTCTGCGGTTGCGAGGCCTCTCGTCCGGATCGTAGTCCATGAGGAATCGTAGCTGCTCGGTTCGGGTGGTCCTGAGCTTTCTCGAAGGTCTTCTCCGCTTTTTTCCTCATGTACTCGTGGATGGTATCCCAATGCAGGTCTCTACGCAAGGTTGAGTTCCTTACGTAGGAAGGTGCATTGGTGGCGATCCGGAGTAGCTTCATCTCTAGAGCAGCAAGTCGCTTGCGGTAGCTGGGGGCAGCGTACCCCCAGACGCGGAGGCGTAAGCGAGCTGAGGTCTGGCGATGGCCTTGATCAGCCGTAGCTTGGTCGCTAGCGGCATCTGGCTGTGTCTACCCAGTAATGGATAGAGTTGAGCCATGGCTGCTCTGGTTTTTGCGATGACAGCTTCTATGTGCGCTTTCCAGGTGAGGGACTTGTCAAAAACGATCCCCAGATATTTGACATTGTCGCTCCACTGGATATCTTCATCGAAGATGGATGCTTCGAGAGGTCTTGCAATCCTTCTTCGTTGAATGAAGATTGCCTGCGTCTTCTGGAAAGATAATTTGCGGTGATTCATAGGTATTTATAATCTCGATTTTACCCCCACCACTTTTTAACTGACCACAGTGTTTCAAGGTCACCGCTGTTATCGTTGGTCAGTATTAACTCGTTGACAGCCTGCGCTTCCTGCCCATTCACCCATGCTTAACAGCTCCGCCCGGTACTTCTTGCATATCACCGCTACGACAACACCTGCCCTGAACCTAACCTCATTTGCGACGTAGGTGATTGCCTTGTTGAATTTATTAGATACACAATATAGACTGTACTATGTTTTCAATATTGTATCAATGTTAAAAATTAACTAACATTAACTGTATGCACCACATATATGAGCAATTCCATTTTTATATGCACACTGAATATGACGTGTTGATTATTGAGATCATCCTATACGCATTGTTTCCCGCGAATTTTATACGTTTTTCCATTTAAACTGAATCCGCAGAATTGCATCTATAAATATCATTATTCATGGGCTTTTATCGATCTATATGCAGATATTTACCGCAAAACATGAAATGAGTCACATCGCTTACGCATAGACGTTATACTACACCTTACTATCGTCGGCTGTCTGAATCACTTCCGGTCGGGTGCGCCATCTAACGGGGCCCGCCAATCAACATATACCATCAACCCGTTCAAACTTCCCGCCGTCTGATCCACCAATCAGAGCACGCGGTGGATCTAGCGGTTCCCGCCAATCAACATATACCATCAACCCCGTTCAAATTTCCCGCCGTTTGATCCGCCAATCAGAGCACGCGGTGGATGTGGTGGGCGTGGCCAAAAAGTGGAAGTGGTGGGGGGCGCCCAGAGTGCACCAGTATCTACTCACAAACATTTGCAACCATTTCTACTTTTTGCTCATGCCTTTGCCGGCTGCGACACTACTAGCTGCTTTTTTGGGAAAGGAAAGATGAAGCTGGTGAAGTTGCTGCTGCAGAACAACAGCATTAGAGCGCTGCGCTGAAGTTTTACGAGCCGGACTGCTTGGAAGACGAATTGCTGCAATGTGCAGAGACGATTACTCTCGCACTATACAAAGACAAAGAACAGTCTTCCTCTCTCGGGACTTTCAGATACAATTTGTTTTCTACAAACTTAGCAAAGGCAAAAAAGGAAACGCCCCTAGAATGTCTCCCACCAACATCTCCTGCCTTGCTTCAGCACTGTAAACGAGTGTAC